GGGAAACTGATTTCAGAGCAACTCAGGAATAGGTAATTTGATCTCTGTGGAGCCCTCCTGAGGCAAGTTAAGATATGATGCAACTCGGTGCAAAACATTGAGAGAAACTCAAATGGCTTCAACTGAGGCAGCCAGGGAGCCATCGAATCTAAAAATTTTAACATAAGATAGCCAGCTGACATCCTTCTCAGAATGCAAAAGAAATCTGCATGAAGAACATTTCCTGTTGAGCTTCCTCAATGACGTACATTCAGGTTTTAACAACTTAAATAGGATAACTTAAAAAGGATGATCCCCAAAATGTAGCCCTCTGCTATTCAAATACTGAGTGTGGACTTAATTTGAGAAGGGTGTGACAGTAATAGAACATCGCGAAAAATTGAAAAGAATATTTCAACACTGGACACACATTTTTTAGAGTCAGCTTCATCCTGAAAATACATTAAAACTAATCTGGGGGACTACTGTAAATTTATATGAATGTTCATGGTAAAGGACCCCATGAACAGAAATATGCCTGGGTACTTCACCGTTTTTGGACAGAGAAGTAACCTGGGATAAGAGAGAAGGTCGTATAATAAGAAGATCTTTCATTATATGTAGGTCTCAGGAGGAAAAGTTCACTTATGCTAAAACAGTATCAGGACTACAGGAATACAAGCTTTAATACTGTGTGTCTTAATGAAACCTGAGTGTCTTTAATAAATATTGCAGTGAATCTGCACCCGCAGTGAGTTTGGCTTTTTTAATGTATCTCTGTGGGGAAAGTTGCACTTACTTTTTTTCTGTGATCAACACACATGCGCTTCTAGCAGACCCCCGATGTTTTTAAAAAACAAAAACAAAAAAACTTATAATTAGATGTAGAGCAAAAAGTATACTGTATGTCCTCTAAGTTGAACTCAAGTTAGGTCATGCTAAATCTTTAACTTAATGTGCACTCAAATTGTGACAGGAAGTGCTTTTTCAAGTCTGTGAGCATGTGGAATAAACCTCAAACCAATACTATTAAGAAAATGTTTAGATCCACCTTTAAATTTTATTAAAGCTAGTGATGCATTTTGTTAAACTTGTTGGTTTGAGTTAATGTGGACAAGTATTACAATTGTAATAATGATACTGACAGATGTAAAATGGACAGTGGGAGTCATTTTTGACTGATACATGTTAGGTCCTATATAATTTCTATGGGAATATAAAATTTGGGTCTTTATAGACACAGGGCAGGACACAGTTAGGTAAATACAATGTGAATAAAAAATCCATAATTGTAATTAATTCTCTCATGTGTTGTTTGTATATTTGCTGTTTCGCAGCGAGTGGTAAATGATCTAATTTTTGCTGCCACTTAAGCATCAAATATTTCATTAAGCTACAGGTATCCTGCTATTTAGTGGTATTGTGTTGTGCGTTTAATGCGCTGTTTTGTTTCTTCCGTGTGTAAAGAGGTAGCATTATAATTATATCAGCAACAGCTGTTGTTCTGTGAATATATACTTGAGAAAAATCACATGTTCACCCAGTTAGTTTCCTCTGGCAGCTTTCAGAGCATAAAGAGAACCATTAAATGTTCAGAAGCACCATCGGCTACAACTCAGATCATTGTGTTTCACAAATTTCCAATTTGTGGTGAACTAATTGGAACAGATAGCAGCAAGAAGACCTAACTAAGCATTTGAAAGTCTTTACGCTTACTTAATAGCATGTTATTCAACCTTCCAACTCCTTGCTGGTGTCTCCTAAATGAAACCTAAGCCAGAGTGAGAAACGTGTGTGTAAGGCATGAGGGTGGGTGTGCCATAATGGGAGCAAAACTGGTCAGTTACTGGAGCAAATTACAGGAAAAAATAACTTAGACAAACACAGGCATTGACACAGGCATGTCAACATAAAGCTTCCAAGTTTCCAGTACAGTACATAACTCGTACAGAGCTTTTTATGTAAATGCAATTGAGTAGTTACTGTGAGAACATTCAGCACTATGGAGATATAGTTCACCCCCACAGCTCTGCTAGGAATAAGTGTGAGCAGCTCTGCAGCAGGAGACTGTGTTCCTCTAAGCAGAAAATCTACAGCAAATCCAGCTGCATTAAAAACTGATAGCCAAGTGTTTTGATTATTTTTTGAAGGACTATATTTACTGGCAGTCTAATACAAGCACAAAACCTTCTTTTAGCTTTAAAAGACTACTGTTGGGATTTTCTAAACATTTATTTTTAACGGTACTGCACATGTACTTGCAGAAGTGCAACTTTCAGAGGCACAAAATGTTGGGAGGAGAGTATTTGAATGAATCACATACAAATTATTTAAGGTTTGCAGCGAGCGATTTATTGGCAACTATATCAAATTTAACTCTGAAAATTGTCTTATTTTGTGTATGATGAGACGGTGTGATAATTTCTGCTAGAAGTGTCAACTCATCTGGATTGCCAGAGGGAGATGTTATCAGAACAAGTGTATGATTGGCTTCAGCGGATTGCTCAAGCTGTGAGCACACCAAAACTCTAGGCTCTTCAGTGAGTTCTCCACTATTTAGAGCTCAGCCCTGCATGTTTCTGGTCCTCAGTAACGCTGATATGTTTATGAAACAGAGCAGAACTTAACTTCATGTGAAGCATCAGAGGGAGAGGGAGAATCCCAATACAAGATCCACGCAGAGCTGTGTGATGTTTTGGGTAACACACACAGCCATGTTACTTTTTAAAGTAGTGAATCGGTTTGTAGTGTTTTAGGCTTTTAGTCACAGAGATCCGCCATGGAGTGGTTTCTTTGTGTATTTTGATTTTTCTTCCTCTTATTTCTGATTATTTTAAAGCTCTCTATCTTGCTACTCATGGACCAATCAGAAGTGTGCTGGATTTAAGTCAAAATCTAACAATATGTAAAATTAACTTTAATTAAATACCTGCAGCCCTGCATGTCATGCAGATAAAAATACCAGTGTGCACACCTATGCATGTAGCAAAGCAGCAGTAACTTTATTAACACATGTACAGCTCAGGATCTGACGATGAATGAAGTTTTGTGTTGTTGTTGTTGTTTTGGTTTTTTTTACAAATCCTACAGGACAGCTGTATACCGACAGTTTTCAGTTTTATGCAGTGAGATAGTTTGTTGAAAGCAGCGCTCTTCTGGATTAATCGTGCATTCCAACTGAGCTGTCAGATTTATCCAGCGATCACACACACTTATCCGTACAGAGTCCTCAGCTATTCCTAACAGAAGACTTCGCCTTTATATCAAAACATATCCATTCTCCTTCAGCTGCGTTTCCTTGATCTGAACTGCCATGTTGTTTTTCTGGAGAAAACCTATATTATAATGTATTATTTTGGTAACCAGATTGTCCTCACCCTTGTTATTTATTATTGAAATGAACTGCCTTTGTCTTTGCTTATTAATCTGGGCCCATGTATGAAAAAGGTCTAGGTAAAGAGTTGGATAGTGTAGGTATTTTTTTAATCCATTGCACTTTATCAATGGTGCATTAGCATTTGTGCGTATTAGTGTGATTGCTGAGGTTTCTTTCTAATATTGTAGCATCTTTTTCTGCCTTGAGGCGACTGTTGTTGTGAATTGGCGCTATATAAATAACATTGAATTGAACTGAACTGGATCAGTAAAGATGAATGGATCTGACAAAATCAGGTGTGCTCCAATGAGTCAGCAATGAGAGCACAGAGATAAATGTAGTCAATCCAACTTCTATCTAATGTGCTGCTATGTAGCACTGATTAGAGCTGTTGTCAGATAAAACTTATTGTTTCCTATTCCCTTTCAATGACTGAACAATTCATTTGTAAAACATTTGTTTTCCTCAGGGGAGGAGATTTTAGAAATGTCGCACTGCAGAAATAAGACTTCAACAACGGCTACAAGTCTGTGATTTATCCCTCTTATGGGTAACTTCTACTACATTTGCTCTCCCAATGGGAGGAGGAAGAGCTGGGTTCAAATCTAGTCTGCTGCAGGAATCTGACTAAACACTGCGCGCTTCACTGATTCAGTAATGTGAAAGCACTGAGAGGGTTTCTGGTCTAGGGGAAAACACACACACACACACACACACACACAAATGAATGCCATTTGCAAAGGGAAAAAAAGCTTAAATTGCTATCAGCACTTGTCCTTGACTCGGTAAGGGTAAATGGAATATTTTGTGGTATTAAATTAAGGAGAACTTCAGAGTCAATGCAGATTGGCAAAATGATAAATCTATGGTGTATTGCACTTGCTGATGAGCCAAATCCAAAGGAAACATCATTCCATTACACAATGGAGTAAGTACAATTAGTATGAACATCACTTCACTCAAGAATATCTTTCCATTGTGAAGAGAAACACATATTTTTGTGCCTTATAAGTTGCCTAAAACATAAATAAAGTGCTAAATATATAAATCAAGAGGTGTAAAGATCAATCTGTACAAAGCTACACAACATACGTACATAGCAAATCTCTTGTGTACTTCCTATTCTTGCTTTCTCTCACCTCTTCTTAATCTAACATATCAAAGACTAAAATATATTTGCATTGCACTTATTTCCCCTCATCATCACCTAAACCAAACCTGGAGCTGTTTTGTCTACCATCCCCTACTTATATATTATTTTCTTATATATGATTTTCATGTTTGTTTGTTTTTTTAAACAAAACCATGCAGCATCATTGCCTGCCCTCCTGCAGCAATGCAGTTACCACTCCAGCCCTCCTTCATCAAGTAACGGCCATGATTTTAATGATATTTTCCAGCTCTTGCTCCATAATCTCCATTACTTCCATCCATTAAACTCAACCAATCAATTGTTGCTTTCGTTTAAACATTTTATAACAGTGGGGTGCTGCTATATAACAGCAACAACTTTATGAGCTGCCTTATATTAGAGCTGTTTATTGACAACAAAGTTACAATTTGGCCTTTTTAGCCAAAAGTTTTACATAAAAAAGGCTTATCATAGTTCAGCACATACATTTATGGTATATGGAGGACTTCCTACCTGCTCTTTGACAGAGGCAAGGATAGAGGAGGTTGTCTCTGTCTCAGATCTGTCTCCATTGGAGGATGGCATCACAGGGGGAACCATGGCCCCCTTCTCCTGCTCTGCAGGCTGATCCGGCACTGGCATGGCTAAAATTAACACACATATATAGAAAATGATGTGACAAAACAGTACGAAGAACATCTACATATTCTTTTTTATTTTTAAATGTCTTGATTTTAAGTGTCAAGAAAGTCAACTTTACAACTTTACAAGGGCAATTCATTAAATAAAAAAAATCTATATATTGATTTTCGAAGTGACTTATTTCTTCACATAAAATGTTATTTAGATATTTTTATAGATGTAACACAGCAGAGGAAGAATACAGATTGTGCATTTTGCGATATAACCAAATAAAAAATACAGATTGCAGACAGATTCTTTGGTTTTCCGTTTAGAATTTGTGTACAACTGCTTCTAAAACATTTTGCATTACATTGGAGATTAAGTATTGGAATTTCACGAGCGAGACCACCCCTCCAAACACGCTCCTTCCGGTTGTCATCTATATGGGTTCCCCCAGTTCTGCAAGCTGTTCATTCTCGTTTACGTGCCCCACCCTCCCTCCCTTCTTGTTCTCCATTCTTCAACTTCTTCACTTCTATTTAGTGCATGGGGATCTGCCAGGCCCGGGAGCCGTCGTCAGTCCCCTTCGAGGCCTTCCCCAAACCGCAGCTCATGTCCAAGCATTCACCTTTACCTACTAAAACGCTGTCATACCTAAAATGAGGACATGAGCCCAGCTAGTGAATGAAAGTTTATGAACCACATAACCACAGTGCCATACCTTTTCACTGTTCATTGCTGAAAATAGGTTACTCAGTTTCTGTCTACACTGCTCAAAAATTTAGGATCAGGGATTAGGGAATCCTAATATCACACATCAGATCCTGAGAAACTAAATATTAAAGTAAAACATTTTTATTTATACATACTGTTCAATTTGTTAAAAACAAAGCTATATATGATCATTAGAAACCATTATTATCAACTGTTTGATGGCAGGATTGAAAAATCACTTTAATAAGTAAAAAACTGAAATCACAGGCTGATTCAACTTGTATCCCAGTGTCGATCAGTAATGTTCGTGGCTCTTCATAGACACTTTGGCAATGAGCCCAAGTGTTGTCCTTCAGGGTGAACCCAGAGCTCACTGCAACCATATAAGACAATAAGTCTGATGATCTTATCCTGGTACCTAATAGCAGTCAGGGCACTGTTGGCTATCACACGGAAGTCTATTTGACCCTACAAGTGAATGCCTCCCCACACAATCACTGATCCACCGTCAAACCAGCCATGCTTGTTACAGCATCCCCAGATTCGTTTACGTCCATCACATGTGTTCAGTGTGAAACTTCTCTCATCTGTAAAGAGAATGTGCACCAGTGCTCGACCTCCCAGTTCTGGTGTTCACTGGTGAAAGCCAATCAAGCTGCATGGTGTCCATAGCGAGCACCAATCCCACTAAAGGACATCAGGACCTCTAACCACCTTCATGCAGTGTGTTTCTTGAGATTTTGGTCAGAAAAGTGCACATGAGTAGCTTTCAGGAAGGTAACTTTGCAGGGTTCTGGTAGTGCTTCTGTTCCTCCTCAGACAAAAGAGACGATACCAGTCCTGCTCTTCCACCCTCTTGAGACTATTCTGGAAGACTCTGCAAACAATCTCCTGATGGCACATGCACATGGGTCATCCCAGAGGAGCTGAACTATTTCTGCAACCTCAATGGGCTTCAGGTAACCTCTCACCTGCTACCAGTAATCACGAAAATAGTAAAAGAGCAAAACACGGGAAAAAACAGTCAGGAGAGATAAGGAGTAGGCAACGGTCTGTGGCCACCACCTACAAAACCAATGCAGTTTTGAGGGTTGTCTTGTTATCTCTTCAATGCAACTGTTACCACTTTCATCAAAACAAGTGGAATGGATTCGTAATCATCTTTTGCTATATACAGACTTCAACTATCTATAAAATACTGCTGTTTTCTTCTCTTATAAGAAGATTGGAGAATCTAATTCAGTTAAAACATCACTTTGAACGTGCCAGCCAGTCAATCAGTCAGGGCGCCGATGAGCACAATACTGGAGGACAGACTGGATGTTTGTGGTGAGAGAATAAATACTAAAAGCAGACTTAATTTACAAAAACAAAACATAAAGCAAATAAATCTCAAACAAGTACAAACACAGTGGGATTTGCCACTTCCACTATATTACTTCACAAACACAGGGTCTTGTAGACTGAGTAATGAATGTATTCAACTGGAAAAGACATGCATTGTTCATCAAACAGCACCTTGACAACTAGCTTGACAAAGTTAGCATGAGTCGTGCATGGGTTTTTTGGTTTGTTTGTTTTCAACCAGCATTCATCTTAATCCCAGGAAGTACTAATAGATGCATCAACATCACTTGACGCTTCTAAATGAAGCCATCTATAATATGAAAGCAGTATTTTAACAACAACAACACCTTGCACTATTAACATGCTAATATGTTTTCTGTTCCATGCCCTAATAATTTAGCCTTGTATTTTACCTGAGCAGGAAAACGACAGGTTAAAGACTTCCTGTCATGCATTACTAACACTTTCTGTCACCATTTGTGTGACCACCATTTTCCATGAAAATCAGTGTCACAAAATCCATTTTCATTTCTTGTGCATGATATGAGAAACTTTTCTTTGGTCTGTTCTGCCTGGGCACTAACTGAAAAGAAACATATTCACTTTCTGCGTAAAGCACACAGTACTGCAGGCCAGGGTATACACAATATTGTGCCCAAACACCAGACACACAAATGTGAAAGAAAATTCAGGGACAGCTCAGTTTCAAGCCATACAAGCAAGCAGTAGAAAATCAATATCAAAAATGAAACACAATGAAATCACCTTATTTCTAATTAACTGTAAAGGTTTTAAATCATCAATCAAACATCTGCACATTTTTCCTGTCTGAGCTGAAAGTACATGGCGAGAGAAAGAAAGAGAAAGTGTCTTAGAAATCAGGAAATTGGTTGGGAAGTTTTAGAGTGTTTTAGAGACCATAGGGACAGGATTTTGTCAATACAGAAGCCCAGACTTCAGTAGGAGACTAAATAATGAACTGCCTGAGTGTGGGATTAAATCATGGAGTCTCTTACTTTACAGTTTCCTGCTAGTCTCAGGCATTTAACATTTGATCTGGGGATTTAAATTCATGCCTCTAATTTTAGTTACAGGGTCTGCATGTACATTTCTGCAGCTTGGATTCTGTCATAGATTTTTAAAATGTGTGATATGTTTTTTAGAAGTATTCATCCAAAAGATAGAATGAGACAGACAAAGAGAATTAGAGTCAAGCGCATCGGTTACCTTACAGAGACAGTACCTCAATGAGGATCTAGACAGTGTGCAAAGCAAACTTCCACTCATTCTATTAGCCAGTCAGCTAGCCATCAGACAGACAGCCGGCTAGACAGGGTGGTGTCTGTAAATAAAAGATGCTAGTGAGATGCCCTGCAGATGGTAATTTTCACTCTCACTGACAAATACCACTTCTGTGTCTGGCATCTCCCCTCCTGAGTGGAGATGAGTCACTGGAGTTTGGCTCCTGAGCAACCAGAACCCCAGCAAAGACCATTTTACACGCGCTGGCTGACTGCCGCAATTTCTCTTGAATGCGCCAGCCAAATGTGCAAGTCAGTGGGAAGAGGAAAGCCTCATCTCACCTTCTTTCTGAACTCATATAGATGTTTTTTCTGCTAGTAAACACCTCTAGCAATAAATTGGAGCTCCCAAATAACACAAAAGAATGAATATGTGTCTCATCAATAATTTGACATGTGGCTTCTTGGCCAACAGTTTGTGTGTTTGTGGTCAAGTTTTTGTTCCAAAAGCTATCCAGTTGTGTCTGTAGCAATATACTATAGTTTGAAATCGGCACAATACCCCTTTCTCATGGCAGGAAAATCACAGGTGTGACTAATAACATTAATGATGGTTTTATTCCATTTTGCTGTGCCAATAAGCAGTGCCAATGTGCCAACATGTATAATGCCAGAGGCCTGGCAGAGGCATACTGAAAAGAAATGCAGCTGCTATTAATTACACCTGTTTTTTTTACAAGTAATAATGTCTGCACCCACTGGTTTTGTGCTTTGTAATACTTAGTACTAAGCCCGAATAAATGTACAGCAAAGGCTGATTGATTGTTTTTGCAGACAGAAATGAGTGTTGCCTTGCGGCATTAGCTCATCAGATAATCTCTTTGCAGTTTTTGACATAATATTCCCAATATACAAGAAACTAGCATATACAAACAAGCGCAATTAAATTAAATAGGCAAACACGCTTCTGAGTGACTTTGATAAGTCGTTTCTCATACAGCTGAATGACTGAAGTAACAAAAAAAAACAACAACTCTAAACAGCATACAGCACGGCGCATAACAAAGACATTGCTGTGTACCTGTTATTGCCAGAGAAAGCCAGTAATCATGTATAGAGGCGATAGAGGAGGCACAAACTCTTTGTAATTAGTGTCCAGCAGGTGCTGTCTTTAGAAAATTGCAAAGGTGGCTCGCTGTATATTGGCTGCTGCAGAGATAATCCCAGAACACATTTGCCATCAAATGTCACAATACTCCAGCATCCTATTCTATTCTTTCCAGGTATTGTCGCCAAGCACAGTCGAGCTGCTACTGAATAGATGTGTGACACCCTGCAGGGTGGAATGTAACAGGAACCTCAGCTTAGAGGAGGCCTTTGTAGCTCTGGGGATGAATTTAATTGTAGCGCATTCTGACTGGTTTGAGCTGTGAGCTGTTTCACAAAGAACTCAGAAGGAATGATGGTATGACATTTCATTTGGCTCAGCCCGAGATAAGTAATGGCAAGCTCAGAAAAAGCCTTGTATGGTTGAGGACCCAGCATTTAATAATGATCCTTACAAAACAAAGTGTAAACAAGCTAAAGAAAAACTCAAAAAAAGTGCATCACATTTCATCTCGTCTATAATGTACGGAGCCCCGCAAGGAACATGGGCGGAAAAAAAAATTAAGACAAACTTTTGCGAAATCTCGCAAAAGTTTGTCTTAATTTTTTTT